TATATATATATATATATCTTTCTCATATATAATAAATTATCATACAGAATGCAAATTGTTTTCTAAGTATGGAACAACAATAATCGCATACTTACCAAAGCATACAAAGATCACAAAATGCAGAATTATATACTGTATCTTTAGATTATTTTTGTAATCTATTGATTGCATTAAAGTAATGATAATTCACTTCTTTTACATAAACACGCTAAATAATTTAGCTAATATAACATCAATGTTATTATTTCATACTCAATAATGTAACTGTTATGGAATACATGTGTTATATTATATTTACACTGTTTAAATTATAATATTAGTGTTATATTATTGTTAATATTAATTGATGTTTTATTAGATATACGTGCATATACTATGTTATGGTACCTATATGATGGTGTTGTATTTCGTCTGTTGTGGCATGTTCGGTGGAGTAGTGGTTGGATGAATGTGCAATGGAAGATCCCAAATCATCGTTTCGACATCCAGAGTCGACGGTCCATGCCAACTTATAGTATTCTCATTGGGCATATCCATCAGTTTCGGCGTTGTGACGAACTCGAAATGCAATCGCCACTTGAGTGTCACCAAATCGGTAGTAAAATCTGGCGTAACGTGCAAAGGTATCGGTAGCACCAGGTGTGAATACCTGAGACCAAGACACATCTCGTGATGCTTGTTGTAGCTGATCAATGTCGGCGTTGCGGTCTTCCCCCGTTTGTACTCTTCCGACACGTGCTCTTCTGACTGTAGAGACACGGATACCTGAACGCAGGATACAGTCGCATTCGAAAAGTCGAAGGTTCCAACAATGTCCTCACCGAGTTTGTAGGAATTCTTAAAGAGGCAGAATCGTACTACGCGTCCGCGGCCGTTTGTCACGTTGTAAAAGTTTGGACTGCGTCTGGCTGTTAAATTCTAAAACATAATTAAATTTGATCGATAACTACAATGTATAGGTCTTGGTGACTATGAGACATTTTTCTTATTTTTAAATAGTATAATGATTTGGAATTTTATGTTTCACAATCTTATTTTTAACAATTTTGTTCTATTCATGTATATAAACTAACTATTTTCGTATTACATTGCTATAATCAGACAATACAATTTTTTACATGGAGTTAAAAATTTTAAAACTTTTAAAACTAATAAAAAAAACTTTAGTGGATCCCAAGGCAATCTATATATTTCTTGTTTACAAAAAGTTTTTGTTATGGATTAAGTAGAAGGATAATATATAACCTGTAATGTTTGTAGAGCAATATCTAATGGAGTTTCCCTATGTTGTGTTTCCATAAATGGATTGTTCGGACTCAGATCCACACTATCATTGCACGCTGTTATCTCTGGTAATTCTATGAAATAATACACGAATTATACTTTATATCATAGTGATATTATCATATAATCACATTTTCCAATACTTTAAATTATTTACCACTTAAAGAAAGTACTCTGAATGGTACTCGTAATAGTTTTATAACTGTATTCACTCTTTGTGTTCCAATTGTAATCTTATAAGAATATTTTACAGCTTGTCCTCTGTATGAAGGTGGAGCGTCACTTGGTATTGTTTCACGATAAATATCTGTTCACAAAAGAGTTTAGTAAATTTAAAGAACAAAAAACATACAAAGAATTATTAAATAGAAATAAAACATAATTACAAATACAAAAATTTATTGACTAAGAAAAAGAAACCTATTTTCGATCAAAGATAATCTTGATGTTTAATAATATTCACATGTAGATTTATAAATATATTTTTTAGTTCTATAAAAATAAAAATAGAATTATTTCTTTTATTTGATTTATTCTTATCCAACTAACTTTGACTTATAAGAATTTAATTAAAACATTAATGAAACTTACAAGTCTTACTTTCTCCAGGTAACAGTCTTAAATCACAACATAAGATTTTCGGCTTTGTATTCAGCACTACATGTCCATTGTCCTGTTGCCATGGTGCAAAGGTAGTATCTACAAAGTCATAATAAATGTAGTAAATAATAAATAGAAAAAAAGCAGAAAAGATTAAGATATTTTTTTAAAATTCATACTTGCGTTAATTGCTATTGAGCGAGCTGCAGTATTTATTTTCTCTGAAAGTACCATTTTGCTGTTCATTGTACACTGGCAATGGACTTGTGCACTCGCCCATGCAAGACTCTCGAATAGATCACTGTGGAAAAGCAATTGATGTTATGAATAATAGTTCATTACTAATAACACTGTCATTTTCTTACCTGTGACTTTGTGATATTTGATGATTTGGATTCGGAGGATTAGTAAACGTCACCAAACATTCTACAATCTCTCCGGAAAAATACACAGGGCCTCGAACGAGTTTTGCCGTAATTTCAATCATATTGACAATCTTTCAGATTGAAACACTATATATACTTTTTAATCATAACATAATAATTTTGTCATCAAGATTCAATGTCGTCAGCGAAATTCTTGTCGTAATCCACCACACTCATTTAATAATTCAAATGTCTACATATTTAGATTAAATCAAAATATGCGTGATGTCACATATTTATCTGTCAGTTTACTCCGAATTCGTTTCTATTTAATTTGTAAATTCATAGGGAAAATGTGTTTATGAATATTTTATTAATACCAACCATGTTTATTGAATATTGATTAGGGAAATTTCTTCGTGAGAAAAATTCTCCAGCAAGTGGCTGAGCCAATAGTTGCGTTCCAGAAAAAGTAGCTTGTAACTGTTGTAAGATTCTTTAATATGATTGGTTCTTGCCCTTAGTTCTTTGATGGATCTAAATTAATATAACAAATCATATTAATGAATCTTATAACAGTGCAAAGCTACTTTTTCTGTTCAATATTGTTTAATCAGAGAGAAACTTGAAAAGGGCCATCCTTTTCTATCAAAATCACCCGTATACTACCGCCAGTACATCCATTTTTAAAGTATGCTCACTACGTAGTAACATCCATTTTTCAACTGTCGATAAAATTATAGAGAACATCGAAAATGGATCATGTGGTGCAAATTCGTGCTACATAAATTAGTCATGAAAATTTTTCCAGGGCCGCCTTTAATAATATACGTATCTCGTCGGTGATTTACAAAATGGCTTGATAAAAATAAAATTTTGTGGCTAGATTTTATCACTCTGTACAGTACACAACTGGTGGTATCTACTTCTCTAGCAAGATACACAGATGTCAGATGCATCGCCGTTGATCTTGATCGCCTGCACATTGGCAGCTTGGCGGATGGGAAATATACAGTAATACAGTAACATAATTGAGCTTGAGAGGTTAATGGTTGTCCGCTTGCGTCATCATGAAGGGAATATTGTGTTTATTCGTGATCCTTGTAAATTCATGTGAGCGATACGTAATAGCGGAGCATGAAGAAGACACATCCACAGATCTATTTGTGATCGAGGGAAAAGTGTTCCCCTGGGACAACGCTGCTTCCACTGGATGGCAACTCATGACGCATGTGATGGCAAATGGAGGTGAACACTACGGCTTTTTGAGGTACGTAGATACGAGCAAAATCTTGTGTCTACGATGCTCCGAGAAAATCGTTCCGAGACTTTGAACATAAAAATAATTGATCAATCACACTGGTTAACTGGTCGAATTGTTCAATGTTTAATTCGTATTAATATTGAATTAATTGCCAATAATATTTCTTTAATTAATATAATCAATGGTTCTTTCTCTGTCCAAGATTTCAGAGCAATTTATAATATCGTGGACAAGGCTTAATACAAGCCTCAATGAATTTACATGTGTTATATATTAAACGATGTTTAATTTCAGGGAAGATGGTACGTTTATAATTTCAAATGTCCCATCTGGTTCTTACATGGTTGAAGTGGTGAACCCAAATTATGTTTACGAGCCAGTCAGAGTAGAGATCAATTCGAAAGGAAAATTCCGAGCTCGAAAGGTTAATTTGATACAGACGTCGCAAGTGATCCAAGTACCTTATCCATTGAAAATGAGGCCTTTAGCACCATTTCGATATTTTCAAGTTAGAGAACAGTGGCGATTAACAGACTTCCTGTTCAATCCCATGGTAATAGAGCTTTTAATGACATATGGACAATGCATACACTTTAATCATAGATTTATATAATAAAGTCTGTTCTTTTTAGTTTTAGAACTTCTTGTATAAATCATTTTCTCTTTTTCTCTGTGAAAAAAACGTGAAAAGAAAAAGGAAAGATGAACCATGCAAGAAGCTTTGCTAAAAATAACAGGTCTGTGGACTAAACACTTTCTTTAGAGATGTCAAGACAACATTAGTAAGAAAGGACAATAATATGTAATGAGTAAGATTCTGTATACAATGGAAAAAGTATTAGAAATAGAAATAAATATTAATTAGAAAAATAAAAAAAATTAGGAATAAAGATTAAATGTAAGATACATTTAATTTTGTATGTAATAATAGATACAAAACAACATGAGACTGCATTGCTATTTTTTTTTTATTTTTCTAATATATATTTCTATTCTCTCCTAATATTTCTTTCATTGTGCACAGAATCTAATATATGTATACACACCTCTGTTCATGTGTTGTCTTTGACTAAGATATATAAATATGCAGTCTGTTATATAAGTCTATGGTTTTAATTTACTTCCTTCGCTAATATTTTTCCTCCTGTATTCAGGTTCTAATGATGGTTCTGCCACTTATACTGATAATGATTCTGCCAAAAATTATGAATGATCCTGAAACTAGGAAGGTAAGAAGACCTAAAGACCGGCCAAAAATTGAGTGACCCTAAAGACTAGGAGTTTTTTCTAATATATCTAAAAGTAAATGAAAGATAATTAACTGTAAAATAATTCGTCTATATAGATTATTATACTATTTACACGTAGTTTATATATTCTAGTCCTTGACAAAGTCATAAACTAAATGCATTTTGTAGGAAATGGAGCAATTAAATAATCTCACTATCTATAATATGCCAGAAATGTCTGAAGTAATAACGTCTTTTCTTTCTGGAGGAGAAAAACAAAAATCAAAGGCTGTAAAAGCTGCTAAGAAAAGACAATAATGTATCGATTTAGTTTACTATCTGTAGATGGTTATATATGTACATGTTTATTCTAGTCGTTAAAATATATTAAAATATTGACGACGAAAAGCAAGAAACGTTCCGATTCCTTCCATCGAATGTTGCATAAAATTACGATTGTTAATATGTTAAGCCTTTGAACTGTGATTGTTTCAAAGTGCTTAATGTATTCCTGCAATTTCATAATTGTAAAAATAATTTGCATTTTTTATATGTGAGTGCATTGAAAATGTAGAGAGAAATAAAACCAGCACCAACAACTTTTTAACACGTTATTCGTTTTGTTTTATGTAATTACTTTATATACGTATGCTGCGCGCAATTTCATAAAATAGTATAGAGAAAACTTTGTACGGATATATAAGTAAAAGAAAAATCTGACCTAATATAATGTAACACACGATACTTACAACATAATTGTACTTTACATCACAAAAATATTATTTTGTTACACTTTCTTGTGTCTGTCATTCTCTGTGATGTTTAGATTAATCCTGTCTCATGTAAGATGTTGTCCAGGCACAAGATACAATTCTCTAAGTTATAAAAAGACATGTATCTATAATATAATAAATAAATAATTATGTATAAATTATTGAAATGGAAACAAATTATTATCCACTTCAAACTTCTTCAAATTTTCCAATCAACAGTATAAAACTGAAATGTATAGAATGAGGATTCGAAATCGAATCAAGTATTCCAACTTTTAATGACAGTGTCGATATCATTATATTGTTGTGCAGGTATTACGGCAAAAAAATATTACACAACGACAACGCAATGATATTAAACTGTTGTTAAGAATTACAGAATTAACAGATTACAAATCAATTGCTTTAACGTGGAGTAGTCAACCTAATAACAATACGTAATTCTGCAATATCCTATTGTCTTGTGAATAATTATTAATCAATGTTAATAATAATTTTGTATTTATTCTACAAAAAAAATATCTAGAATTATACAAGAAAGCAGAAAAGACCTAAAATATTTTCAATTATATGTATTGAAAAATTATAACAAACGATAACGATAGCTACTGATAAAATTGCTAATAAAAAAATCTTGAATCCTCCAATTAAAAATCGTATATTATTTCAAAAGTGCTAAAGGGCTATACGAGTAATCGCCGTGTCGTGATTCATTGCTAATGCAACGTTTCCTTCGCTTCATCAGAGCGAGGAGCGTAGTGATATATTCTAAAAAACTTCTTATTCTATAATTTATAAAAAATATCTTAAACTTTTTCAGATATTATAAGCTATCACCAGAAATTGTAGAATAAGAAATCTTAGAATATTTTAGAATTCACATATATAAAAAGTTTTTAGAAAAAATGTAGACTTTCTTGACACCTCTAAAAAGTACTTTAATTTATATAAAAAGTTTGAAAAATTTTCTAAAAAATAATTATAAAATTATTCAGAAATTCTAAATTCTGAAATTTACATATAAATTTTTAAAAATTATATGAAAAATTATTATCATTAACACTTTTCATTAGTTCGCCTCCAATTTGGCTCATGTAATGTTTTTTATTTAGTATTTGAAATGCAGAATTCACGTAGAAAAGTAATTATCTATTGAATGAATTATTCGAAGTTACCATGAATCGTTATTTTTCAGAAATTGAAAATCGGCAAAATCTGTAAATCGTATAAGCCATAAATTAAGTGAATCAATTTTAATCTTTTTTCGTCCTTATTGTGATCTTAGGAGAAAATTTTTATTTTTTGTATTGAATATGAAGTATTCTCCACACAAATTTTATACCAAATAATAAATAAGTAAACCAGATGATATTTTATTATATTGTCCAAATACTATAAATAAGAAACATTACATGAGCTAGCCAAATTGGAGGCAGCCCAATGAAAAGTGTTAATGGTTAGTAAAACTTTCACCAGGATAGATAGAAGAGAAATAAAAATATTCTCGGAACACATGAAGTCATATCGCATGACAAAAAACCGGCTGTGGCATTAGGTGTACATTTTCAAGAATATTTAATAAATTCGGAGTATCGAAAAAAGATATCCAAGCACATCTATAGTTCGTACCGGAAGTGAAACGCGCAATTAAGAAGTTCATATAATAAGAAAACACGATTTTCCTAAAAGTATTTTTATTCAAATGAATTACCCTGATTTTTAAACTTGTCGCTGAAATATTTTTCGATATCATAAGATAAACTTTGCAGCAATTTGAGATAAGAGTTTATCAACAAAACTCGAAAGAAAGACAGAAAGTTATGTTATTCGGGCTTGATTAACGCCAGGAAGCGAAACCGCACCGTGGGAATTAATAAAAAATGAAAAAAGGGAACGTGAGTAAAGATGAGCAATCACAAGCGTGATTCAGCGGTTGACGATGCATGGAGTAAGCTGTTGGGATGGTTGCTCGACGAGAAGCGAGAGCGGCTGAGTGTATCGCTCTTCCGGGAATCCATATTTCGCCAATCGAGTCTCCAGTTCGGCCGTGATTCGCCTCGCCCTGGCCAATTTTATTCGTTTCATTCAAGCCGACGACTAGATCGAAGCAAACATGCGCAACATGATTACGCGATGTTGTGCTGTACCGTTGTGATAAAGTTACCTTATGTTACGAGAAAAGTATGTGGACCATTTATTGTATGATCAAGTGATTAGATATTCGTAGCGTGCAAGATGTAAAGAAAAGAAAGTTATTAAAACAGTAAATCTATGCTATGTATCTACATTTATAATAAGTATTTATAGACAGTGCGAACAAAGAAATCAAATGATTGCAAGTGATTAAATGAAAATGAACGATCTATAGATTAACGTGCCAAGGTATGTATGAGAACACGTGGCAATAATTCAAGTAATTCAATTTTCATCTCGGCGAAGAATGCTGGATTTGTATGATTTCACTTGATAAGACAGCTTTAACGCCGAAATTAGGCGGAAATGCTCGACATTATTTAAAGTGAAATAACAGTAATAATAAGTGCGATTCACGAAAAAAAATTATAAATTTCTTCGTCGAATAGTGGATACGTCTCAAGATTTGGACATCGTGCAAATGTCTGAAGTGATGGATTCTGAGTCAACTTCAAAGTACAACTGGAAGGGGGATAATAATAAGAGAATATAAACGGTCTCGAACTGCAGACAGATTTGTGCGATATCTTCGCAGGTGCATGGAGTATGTAATTTTGAAATGATGGAACACGCGTCGGAAAACGATGAGAAAAGCAACGATGAAGATCTTGACGATCATCCCACGCAAATTATGGTGCCATCCGGTAAATATCTCTAATCGGCAAACGATATGTGAAAGTTATATCTTGGACTTATCAACATGAGAAATATATTCCGATAATCTCGGAATTTTCATCTTTCAGATCCGTCCAAGTGGAACTCGAATGACATAAGCAAATGGATTTTATGGTGCAGTCACACATTTGCCATAAGACTAGGATCCATCGCAGCAATACTTCCATCAACTGGCAAAGAACTACTACGATTAACACTACAAGATTGGCGGGATATCGGCGGAACAGGAGGTAGTATCCTAGCAAGACACTTGGCTCATCTTCGTCTACAGGCCACTGGCATGCATACTACGGATTTACTACAAGAGAACGAAAATAATAAGGAAATTGGTAAGTCTAAACAAATAATAAATTCAATCACTTTTTTCGCATTACGGATACTAATAGGGATATATATATATAATCAATAAATATTATTTCATTATTCGAATTAGTCTGAATTCAAATTTACTTCTGAATTTAGATACTTAAAATCAGACACTTGAAATAAATTTAAATCTCTTAAACGTACTAACTTTTGTGATTTGTTGGATTATTAATAAATATCTAATCTAGGAATAAAATCCTAAGAATTTGAAAAAATCTTGGATAAATAATTAAATAATAGAATTATTTATATTTTATTTATGATTTGAATTTTCCCGAATAATCGAATTCTGATATTAATTATTTTATTTAAATATAGTAGAGGATACTGCTAGTTTAAGAATTAGAAAATGATGAACAGTAAATTAAATCAAAAATAAAATTTTATATTGGTAGAAATTAACATAACTCTTTAATAAAATTTTAAATATATAGTTTTCAAAATCTAGTCATTGCGTTATCTGTTCTTCATCTCTACGTGTATATCAACGAGATCATAATGCTTTTTTTTTTCTCTTGGCGACACTAACATCATCGCGTCTACACATATTAATTGTAAACATAAATCCAAAACAATTCATGCTATAAATTTAAATGGCAAAACCATTTAGGGATTTAGTCTTGGACCTGTCACGATTGAATGGAGAGTGACCGGAAAAGGCTAACCATTCCCCAAAGACCGATTCTAGTCTAACTGACCAGGAGCTTATCTAAAGCTTTAACGATAGCGGCGATCTATTATAGATAAACGCGATTCGGGCAGGAAAGTAAATATCGTCGAACGGATAGTTTTACCCCAGACTTTCTTCACCTCTGTTGCTCATGTGATTCGAAAGGAAAAGCAACGTATGTGCTGAAACGTCCGTATATATTTTGTCGATATAAAATCGAGGCGATTGAATAAAAAAGCGATACTCCAAGGAATAAAAAGAAAGCTTGCAGCTTGCAAACATTGAGTTAAAATTCATACAAGATCATAAATAAGAAATTTCTACGAAAGTGTGGACGATATTAATATAACATCTTATGTGACAATCATGTTTACAATAACATGATTATAATACGAAATTGTTATATGGAAGGATGATTTTATCAAAGTATCTAAAAATGTATAGCTACCGATCTGAAAATAATTTTGTTGAACCGTCAAAATAATTACGTAGAAAGCGGAAATATTGCAAAAAATTTTGACATTTTAGCAACCAGCTTGAGCCTTCGTAATTATTTTGATAATCTAATAAAATTATTTTCAGATCTGTATTTAAACTTTTAGGTATTTCTACAAAGCTGTTCTTCTCGTGTGGAATCGGTCTCGTACGGTGTAGAGTCATAATGAAGAAGCACGAAAAACGAAATAAAATAAACTTAATTTTCTTTTATCTATGCTCTATTCGCTCCTCTTTTTCGTATACGGAATACAGACTTTCGAGCACCGTCTCTTTGGAGGAAGAAAAGCTAAAAGTGAGAGGTACCGAACTGTGGCAGCGTAAGCCTCTGAGATATATCGTCCGTTTGAATAACGTTACAGCGCTCTCTCTCTCCTCTCTCTCTCTCTCTCTCTCTCTCTCTTTCTCTTTCCTTCCCTCTTGTTCTCTATGTGTGTGTCGGCCCATCTCGCCCCGGCAGCAGCCGTTTATTAAACGAATCAGTGTTATCGCGGTGAGAGAGTCCTTCATGAATAAACCATCGAGTGTTTAGGGCAGCGGAAAGGTGGTGCCACGAGGGGTTACGAGCTTGCCGCGCGACCGCTTTTACCCCTCTTTCTGCTCTCCTCCAGGGGCAGGCTCTAACGGGCTCGGGGGTGGTAAGCTCGCCGCGGGGCGCGACTATATTGTTTTCGTGATGAGCGGCAAGCGTACTCTGGATCTTGAATGTATACGGGATAATTTTACGCGTCGCACCTCCGTCACACGTCGCTTAAACTTCTCTGTACGTTTTGCGTTTATGGCATGCACTTTGTATTTACGCGTATATGCGCATGTGTTTAATGTGTGCAGCCACGATATCCTCGAACGAACCTAGCTTGCCCTTTGAACATTTTATATTGTATTTAACATAGTGGTCGAATAATAAAATAAAATTATATTATACCTATATATATATATATTTTTTTTTCTTTTCTCTTTTTCTTTCTTTTACAATTGGATGTAATAATATGCGAGAGAGTTGTGTAAATCTTTTTGCATCGCGTTACAATCCTTACATTTAAATTTTGCACCACATTGCCATACATATTTTTATCTTTGTCATATTTAAGATACGTAATTCTTGGCATATGTGCTAGTATTCGTCAATGTGTTACAGGAAGTGGAAAATGTAAATATCTTTCAATGTTAAGTTGGCTCAACTAGTATGATAGACAGTAATAAATGCGATATGAATATTTGATATCTCTATTAAAACTTCTTATAAGTATAATTGTAACATAAACAATGACTTGTATAGCGAACAATCACTTCAACCGAGAATTCTGCGTCAGATATTTTTTCATTTTCATAAAAGGATTTTAAAATATTCTCTGATATTCCATATCGAATAAAAAAAGGGCGAGTAACATGCATACGTTTTCAATTTATATCTCCATAAGTCACAGACAAATAATATAAAATATATCCAAGTTTTTTTTTGCAGAAATTGTTATAATTTAAAAAGAAATGATCATCCCAAGCAAACGAAAAATCCAGTTTCGAAAGAAGAAATTTCGAATAAATCTATACATCTTTGGCCATCTCGCTCAAAATCTTAAAGATACTTGCGTAAATTTCGAAAAAGAAAGAAAAGGAAGCAAAAGAGAAGGTAGCTGAAACGGTAAGTACTCTAAGCGCAGTATGTCGCAAGAGGGGGAGGTGTAAAGGTATTCCGTTCTTACCAAGAGTAAGAGTGGGGGCGCAAAGGGCTGAAAGCTGAAATAACCAGGGGCAAAGGTCGCTCAGTCGCTCTCTGTCCACTGACTGGCGGAGTTTTATTCCAAATGCATCTACCTTCTGCTGATGATTGATGTTACTTGTCGTGTGCGTGTAATTGTCTGAGATGTGTAGAACGTTATCGAGATCGGTGAAATGAATTTCAATTAATATTCCCTGAGTTGATCCATTATTTTGCGAAATAGTTGGTTCGCGATGAAATTTATTCGTTGCTCGTGTGATCGTTGGACATGAACCCCTGTAAAATTAACTTCTATTATCATTCGGTTAACACATGAAAAATCATAGCGATGTGCGAGCCTGCAGCATTTCCTCTTTTAAATCAAAAAGATGTAGGTTCAAGACGTAAGATCGCCATAAATTTTAAGTCTGCAAGACTATTAGCGTATTGAAAATACGCAAGAAAACGGATTCTCACTGCGTGATTTTCAACTCCAGAGATGATAGGCTTGTCGTTTATCGGTTTTCGAAAGCGCCGTTTATATGGCACAGGATTAGGCCAAAATATCAAATTCGGCGCGTAATGTGGAGAATTCAGACGCATCCTTTACATCTTCAGCAGGACACCAGATTACACCCTTCGGCTGCTGCGATTCTTTATAACGGTAAATTAAAAAAAAAATTAAATTAATTAAATTGAAATAAAAATGTTGAAACTACTATTACGCATAATATTAAGCCTGTTCTTTTTAACTGAATTTCTTGCACGATTCATCTTTCCTTTTTTTTTCTACGAATGTGCAGAAGAGAAAAGGAAGAAAAAAGTAAATCGTAGAAAAAAATTTAGCTAAAAAAAAAATTAATCTATTGTCTCCGTCGTTCGTGTATTTATTTGACGTTACAACTGCGTTTGATGCGAAAATACAGATATATGGCCTACTAGCGAAAAATAACTTGTATATAACAAATATACGATAACTACTTTAACAGTATAAAAAATAAAATGTTATATATAATAAGATGTTAACAGAAAATATTAGAATTACTTGGCTTTTTATATACTCTCGCAATAAAATCTAAACCGATAATTATCAACTTTTTTGTCAACATGACGAAATATTATTTACATAAATGATACGCAGATAGAAACAAAAGGATAAAAGTCTGTGTCAGTCAGAGCAAGAAGACAAGTGTACCAGAGAAAACCGACGATCCATCGCTTTTATCTCTCTGTCTCTCACAGTCCAAATGACTCGAGAACTGCTTGAGAATATAGTTTGGTGCATGCGTGTTCCGTTTTCTGCTCGCAGAAAGGTTCAGCCTCCTACAACGGACTTGCTCGCTGATTGGATCAACAGCTGGAGCCAGTGGCTCGGGGGCGGTCGGAGGCGGACAGGTTCAGCTCTGGCAATTCCTGCTAGAGCTGCTCTCAGATTCGTCTAACTCATCTTGTATCGCGTGGGAGGGCTCGAATGGGGAATTCAAGCTCACCGATCCGGATGAAGTAGCGCGCCGTTGGGGTGAGCGCAAGAGCAAGCCTAACATGAATTACGACAAACTGTCACGCGCGTTGAGGTAATTGTATAAATATAAAAATAATATTTGTATAAATATTTGTATAAATATAAATATATAATCTGATATACAATGATACAATTATACATATAATGTTATAAATTATATCGCCGTGTTGATAGAAAAGTGATAATGAAATAAAAAATTAGCATTTTTTAGATAATAAAAAGAAATTGATTCTAAAGACTACTATATTTTCTATGAACAACGACACATTTGTAGCTCATTTATTTATAAAGTGTCGCAACATTTTGATAATAAAATTTATACACTATATTATAAAATTTATATCACTATATTAAAATTGCAGTGTTTAAATTTTGAAAATTCACTCTAGTTTAAAAAAAATACATTATAATTGAAAGGATAACATAAAAAGAAAGTAGTTATAGAAATGTATTTACTATTCTATTTAAAATATTCTTCCAATTGAAAATTTTAAAAATATTCTACTGAGAAAAGTTGATAATTGTCATTTTTCTATTAATGTAGCGATTTATTGTTTCTTAGCGATTTATCTTTCTTTTTTTTTCTACTTTCATATGTAGATTTTTTCTTACATTTTTTTCTCAACACTTTGGAACAATTTACGTTAACACAGCGCAGTTAAGAAAGAAAAATGTTATTTCACAGATATTACTACGACAAGAACATAATGACAAAAGTTCATGGTAAACGTTATGCTTACAAATTCGATTTTCGTGGTTTGACGATGGCTTGTCAGTCACAAGCAGGCATTATGTTGGAAGCGTCGACGTCGTCGCGCGTAACAAATACGAGCTGCCATTCTCATCATCAGGCTCATCGCACTCCTCGCTTGTATCCAGTTGGACCTGCTCAGCACTCTGCACCATCCACGTTCCAATCAGAACAATCGTCTTCCAGTCAACAACAACCTCCGCCACCTCCACCGCCATTGCCACCACCACATTATTGGCCATATCGATATTCACCACCGACATAACATTGCTCACTGTTAGGCATATGAGATTACATTAGCTGATGTTAACTTTGATCTTCTTGCACTCTCTCCTAGTAAACACTGAATGTAATATAATAATAATAATATTTCATACTCAACAATATAAGTATAACACATGTAAAACTCATGTCAGATTAAAGATTGAAATTGAATTAGAATTTAATCAAATCAGGAGAAATAAAATCAATATCGAGATTAATGAATTTTATTTTGTCAAATTCTAGTCCAATCTCAATTTCAAATTCTAGTCTGATACAAGCTTTATAATTACACTGCTGAGTATGAAATCATCATTTCAATGTTTGTGTTACTTTTAGTTGGTGTTTCATTGGACTCAATGGAAGAAGGACTGGTTCTAAATCTGAAAGCTTACTTGGCCAATATCCAGTGATAGATCAACTTTGATCAACTTGAGTGAACAACTCAAGCTCTCGTTCTTTTGAGTTCCTTTTCTCTGTTTCTGTCATTCCTATCAGATACATCACCACCGTTTTCATCTAAAAGCATTAAACTGAAACATCAAGTTAGCTTATTATAAGTTCAGGTTTTAATTAACAAATATAGAAACAATCTGTACATACATAATAACAATGAAAAAATTAATATACATTGAACAAATGTGAAATATTTTAGATTAATTTAGATAATTAAAATGTTGCAATCATTATATTTCCTTCATTACTTTTTTACTATTGTGCTCCATAATATAGGATCTTGTAAATATATCGATCAGTACTATTCAAAGCAATATAGCATGTTTTTTTATTTTCTTCTTATTATCCGACTATTATACAATCTATTACACATACAATAGTAGATTCTATACTAGGATATATAGTAATTTGTTACTAAATACTTTTATATAATAGAATCTTATGTACTCACAATGTATATTTTGTAAACACAACTTTCTATCTAATAAAATAATGTAGGAAAGCAAACAGGAAAATTATCCATTATGTAAACCAAAAAATAAAATTAAAATATTACTACTAGCTGTTCGATTGCTTACCAAACGTCAGCTAGTGCACGTCTCGGTGAGTTTACCGACGTGATCAGACGTGTCATTATTTTTGGAAAGTATGACCAGCTTCAAACGCGCATTTGAGTTTATGTTACTTTTTTAGACTTTCGTATTCTGCATATTGATTTTTGTTACACACCGCATAAGCGGCATTTTTGATTCTGTGTTAGAGTCGCGGCCATTCTCACGCGAAGAAGTCAGCTAATGTAAATCTCCCCTAGCAGCAATTCATTATACATTGGTTAAATGTTAAGGATATACTGGACCAATATTTAATCAATATTTATGTTATTAAAATCAATTAATCTTCCTTCACACAATTATCCATATGGATCACTTGTAATAGTTACTTGTGATTACATAATCGTTAAAAATTGAAAATCAGTAAAGCGTAAATACTAGAACAGTCCAAGTCGTGATAAATGAAATTAATTATATCGCATCGGGAATAATTCTTCTTTAATGAAACAGTACTTGTCCTCAAGAAATTCCGATAGAGACCAATATGATCACGTCGAGGACACGATACGAGGTCTGTTTTTTTATTGCTACACTTTCCAAACTGATACACACAGTGCAATAAGTTAAACTGGTTCCGAGTGCAGCAATAAAAAACCTACGATTGCAAATTTCATAACATTCTTGCAGATAGTAACATTTGGCGCGAATATTTGTCCAAATCTTAGGACCTACAGTTCGCCGATAGAGGGCATGACACACATTAATGTAATTATGACCGATCGTCGATAACTCTGCTGTTTTGAACAGGATGCTGTAGATGTTGCTCCGCGTCAACATGTCGGCCAGTCGAACATGCGCGTGGCGTCGCTGGTGATCAAAATGACGCATGCGTAAAAGCCCAGAATGCGATAGACTCCTTCTCGGCCTGCAAGAAAGGTAAACTGATCCACGCTGGATATTGGTGTGGTTAAAATCCGTTTATTATATTAAGATCGTCATATATCTCGCCTGCAAAAGCGTTGGAATGTATCTCGCAAAGAGAGATTAATAACGTCCTGTATTTATTTCCAGCTCTCCAGCTCGCTCGAACATGTCTGACGTAGAAAAGTGAGTATACTTATGTCTTTCGCATCTCCTTTTGTCGTGCGATTAGTCTTAATAAATTAACGGTATCATGAATGTACGGATCTATACGATCTCGCAACAAGTGTTTAGTGACATAGGAATAAAGTTTGACGCGTAATAAATGTATTCATTATTGTAGAATTGATTAAACTTTTATTATTGAAAAATTAGTTTTAGATTTTGCAATTGTAAAAATATACACATGGTTATAACAGCTGATAAATGGAAATAATAAAACGATATCTATTGATAAAGCGAGCTCTAATTAATATTCTAAGATGCTGTATTCAATAAAATTGTTTCCTTACAGTGACGATGTGCCATCCGCGATGGCAGCGGGTGGTAGTATGGATGTTAACACTGCGCTACAAGAAGTTTTAAAGAATTCTCTCATTCACGACGGCGTTGTTCACGGACTCCATGAAGCTGCCAAAGCTTTAGATAAGTAAGATACAAAAATATTAATTATAAGGCTTATTTTTTTTTAGTTAAACTTTTTGAACTGTTCATCTTTTTTTTTCTTTTTTGTTTCCAATGTGAAAACAAGAAGAAAAATGAACAAACTTCAGATATATAAGCAAACAAACAGATATATAAAGTAAATATAACTAAGGAAACATAAAAGCTCTCTCTTTTAAAATCCAATTGCTATATTTTGATGTCTTGTTATATGCATAAACAGTAACAAGTATTATGCTATAATGTATATCTTTTATATTGCAGAAGACAAGCCATGCTTTGTATCCTGGCAGAAAATTGCGACGAACCAATGTATAAGAAATTGGTTCAAGCATTGTGTAATGAACATCAAATTCCACTGATAAAAGTAGATAATAATAAAAAGTTAGGCGAATGGGCTGGCTTGTGTAAAATTGACAGCGCAGGCAAAGCACGTAAAGTAGTTGGCTGCTCATGCGTCGTCATAAAGGTAAGCTGTATTAAAAATTTTTTGCTCTTTCTAATAAAATCTGATGAAATAATATATTAAAGATATAACACATGATTTATAATACATATCTATACATATGTATTATAAAACAATTCATGATGATATTTAGGCTCCCTCTACTGAGTAGAACCCATATTATAAACAAACCATGCTGTAATTATGCCTTGCTGATGTGATTTTATTAATATTTTTATCTGTACCGTTATTATTCCATTATTGAGTTAACATTTATTTATAGGATTTTGGTGAAGATACACCTGCTAAGGATGTTTTAATGGAATATCTTAAACAAAGCGCTGTACATTAATAATTTTTAATAAAATATTTGACATAAATTACACAAATACGTCTGTTCCAAACATTTCTTAAAATATATTATGGATATAAAGATTGCAACTGTTCTTTTTCAATAATTTCAAAATGCGCGAGAATTGTGAGAATGTCCTCATTAAAAAAAGCGTTGCAATCTTTGTATTCGTGACTGTAATAATATTTCATTATAATTAAAAAGATAAGATATATTTATAATATATTTTTAAATGTATTGATGAATACATATATTCTTAACTATTAAGAAATGTATTATCACTGTTTAGTTTTTGCTATTGTGTTGCAAATATTCTTGTGATTTTCCCAGTCTTTTACTTGACACTCTCTATAAGAAAAATATCAAGTGCATTACTTTTTGAATGCATCTAGCATTTGTTAGTAAAGTCTGATTATTTCCTATATACCTGCTGCAATACCAAACTTCCTTGCATCTGGAACATCGTTTCTTAGACGGTTCTTGACATAACGAACATTTTTTCGTTTCTATACGGTCTAACTTTTCCAAATCATAGACATCACTTAAAATTTGTGCGACCTCTTTAATGTAAGTTGTATCTGTTGTAAATAAGTACTTGGATTGATGCCTAGCCAGTTTCTTCCATTTTTTATGATATTTTTCCAGAATATTTGACTTTATCTATATTTGATGATTTAAGTTTGTATAATTGATAATCGATAAGAGAGAGGAATGAAGAATAGTAATATACCTGCGGCATAACTTCCACGCGAACCGGGCAAGTTGAATTCGAAGAGGGCATCGCTGGCGATATATTTAAGTAAGCTAACCATCTCTTAAGTTCTATCAAAGGTGCAATTTGATCGAGTATATCGTCATGCAAATATTTCTGTAGCTAAGGTATAGAGTTCTATTAAAAATCATGTATATTTTTTATTGTTAACAGGTATCGATATTAGTACACAAATGAGTGAAGAGAACTATATTTGGTCAAAACAGGTCTTAGAATCCAATAAAGTATGAATATAGTATGAATTTTTACAATTTTTAGTTTAAACAAACTACCGATTATTTGTCAGTTTTATAACACAGTCTTAGACTGAAGCTGAAGTAAGTCTAAGACTGTTTCAAGACAAATAATCAGCGTCCAGTATGAGCAGGAAATTGTAAAAATTCCCACAATATATTATTAGGCACTAAGATTCTCTTTGACCGAATATGACTCATTTGCGTTTAATTCTTCGATCCATTTTCACTTAATAATTAGTACCTTTGATAACTGGGACAACCTGTGCTCTGTGATTTCATAGTACGGAGAACATTTTGGATTAAGAAGTAATTCTCGCAAGCCAAACCATACTTGTCCCTCCCTTTTATTAATTTTTCCAATTTCACTCGGTTTAATTTTCCTCCAGCTGCCTTCATACATCAACACCTCATCTGTAAGAAAATTAACGATAGCTCAATTTATCATACTCCGTCAGGATGCTAGAAAATAGATGTTAATAGATGAAAATGGATTACCATCCTCATTTTGCTTCTTCCATGGTTGACTTTCTATCAGCTGTGCAAATAAATATGGAACGTCGTGTATAGCTAGCATGCGCGAAATTGCACAAAGAGGTAAGTTATCTAAAATTTCTATTAGATAATGAAGAATTGAAATACACCGCATCCCAATGTCAAACTCAAATGTCCTTTGCTTCTCTACTATTTCTTCCAAGCAAGAGCTGAAGCGAAACACACATGTGTGATTAACAAATTTGATATTCACGAAAATTTAAAATGTATATCCTCTAAATAATTTATATATGTATTCTCTGTTTATTTTATACTTTCTTATATTTAGTTAAAATAGAGAATATCTTACTTAGGGTCTTTGATTTCATATACTTCTAAAGTTTTTCCATCGAGAAGCGTTGTTACGTGTTGAACAGTATAATCGATGAGGTCAATCACTGTGTCATCCAATGTTTGCGCGCTTTCGCAATGAAACAATATATTTTCCAATAACGAAATCGTGATGACTTCGTGATAGAATATGCTGAATAGCATAAATGTATTTGTTGGTTCCCCATTAAAATCTATCAAAAGTGGAAACACCTTGTGCTTCCAAATGTCGATTTGTATAGCTTCATATACAAGAATGGGAATCTAAAAATACGATTAAATAAATGACACTGTAAAAGAGACAGTTATATCGAAAGCTAGTTTCTCACTTACATAGAATGTTACTAAAATAGAAAAAATTATAATTATATTAATTAAATATAATTACTATTGAATATTATAAAAATTGTAGTTATAATTGATTAAATGTCATGATTATTAAATATTATAATAAAATTATAACAAAGTTACTACAGAAAATTATATTTTTGCACATCTCGAATTTATCGATAATCTTTCTGCTTAATGATATCGTATCTATAACACTGCTTATAGCATATTTTACAAATTGTTCTTTTTAATTATTTACTTTCTTTAACGAAATAAACCATTCCATGACACTCTCCTCACGTAGCCCCGTTATCTCGAGCACATTCTGCTGGTTTAGCAACGTCATTTTTTTGTGGAAATCCAACCAACTGAAAGAAACTCATACATTTTCACATCGATTTCTGAATTACATCGAATGATAAGGGAATATGTAAAAGTGTGATTTACCTTTTTGTACCGACGTTTTCGAGCTCCGAAATGTTCAAGCTTTCTACGTAAGCTTCAATTTCCCATGGCGGTACTATGTATTCCATCTGGTCTGCCATTCTTTCGGAAAGAATTCTTAACGTATTTTTGTGTTAGATTCTAAATAACGATCATCATGTACTATTGACAGCATTCTTGTGTCCATGACAACAAAAGTATGTTTGATCGATAAATCATGTATATAAATACATAAATTTAAATATTTAATACAAAATACTATAATGCAAGTAGACTACTCGCATCATGAAACACTGATAAAATATTCTTATATATCAGCGTCATAGTAATTAAAGTGATAAATCAATTATACAATATTCTGATGAACTACAACAAATAATAGCAAACATCACATTTAATAATGTAATTATAATCAGTAATTACAAAAATAAAAAGTAATAAGTGATTAAAGTAATCAAAATGAAATAGTATAGTATTATGTTATTATCTTCCAGCTTCTTTTTTACATATATTCAAATTTACAATTTAATAAGACCAAGGGACATGTCATAAGTTATGAATAAATCTAACAAAAGATAAAAAAATTAATATTTCTTACTTCAATATATACAATCGCATTATTTTGCTTATTAGCTGGAGTAAAAAAAAATTGTCAAATGCACTCGTTTGATTGCTCTGAAGTGACGATCAAACATGATTGGCTCTTATCTTTAAGATCCGGCCGTTTCGACCAATCATTCCTCGACCGCCGTTGTGGCATTCTGTGAACGATCACAATAAAATTGCGCAAGCGCAATTTTCGTCCATCTGACTGATAGCTAACCTTGTTTTTGAAATTTGCACAGTTTCACATAAGGACGTTGGGAATAATATCGAAAGTAAACAACGTCCGCTCCTGTTAAAAGATCCGATGTATTGCACGTAGTATCGGCAATTTTCTCCGCGATCGGATGCCGTTTACGTGCTCCGTTGTCGCGCGATGAGCTTGTAGGATGGCGACGAGGGAGAGTAGGATCGAATCCGTGGCAGATCCCTGCCCTGTGAATCCACGCAGGATCGGCCCGCAGAACGTGGTGGTGCGTCTCCGACGTAGGGAGACGATGGGTTGTCCATATCCAGGCACCCATGTGCACTGCGCTCGACAGTTCTACCAGAATGTCTTTCCCAACTTCACTGTGATGAATGTGGAGAAGCCGCCGTGCTTCCTTCGCAAGTTTAGCCCAGACGGGAGGTACTTAGTGGCGTTCAGCGCGGATCAGACTTCGATCGAGGTGTACGAGTACCGCGGAGCACCGGCTGCCGCAGACTTACTGGCCGACTGCGAAGGCGAGTACATCGGCCACAAGAACGACGACTGTAGCTTTCACATACGAAGTAATATCTTCGCGCGATTTTTCAAGGTACTGGATACTAACCGACTCCGCACGGCGTACGCCTTTACTTCGCGGATTGTAAAAGATTAAAGAAAAGAGAGAAATAGAGAGAAAGATAGAGAGAGAGAGAGAGAAAGGGAGAGAACCGGTGAAATTCATGTACCAGCTCTGAAACGTATTTGTAGGTAAAGTGGATTATAAATGTAGTAGAAAGCAACCAGCAATTGAACAGAGAATGCAGTCTTTTCACCGATGACGCTCGGTATGTAATCGTGGGCTCGGCCGCTCATATCCCTGAGGAATTGAGGCCACATTTTTATCAGGTAGCAGAAAATTTCTAATCGTTTTATCTAAGATTATTATTCTTTTTGAAAAAGTGTTTAATAAAATAATATTTCTTAAAGATTTATTCCAATAATGAGGCACTGACACCGAATCCTAGATCACCGCTTGAAGATTATAGCTTGCACCTTGTTGATTTAAGGGGTGGAAAATTATGTGACACTAGACATTTTAAAGTCGACAAAATTTATTTGTCGCACAATCAAGGTATATAAACGAAATTTAGACAAACTATCGCTGCTTATCTGACCAAGTTGGATCTAGCATTGTACGAGTATGATTTGCTGAGAAGAGCACAAAAAACTTTGTTCACTTTTATATAGGTGCTGAACCTCTTGTCCAGCAATGAAACTTGACTCAAATGAAAAATTACTCTAGCCTGTGAATTTGTACTTTTGAATTATTTGAACAAATTTTATCATTTTTAGGTTCTGAATATACAATATTTTAATATCAACGGATATCAAATAATTCAGTAGTCTATTGTTCCTCTATTGATTAGTATATGAGTATTACTGAATGAGAAATTCAAAATAGGCAAAGCTTTTTTTAATTGCTTTTGTTAAAATATTGGTCAATTAGGGAATTAACAATATTTCAAACTTTTAAAATAAATTTATTTCCTTTCTAGGTTTATATTTATACAAAGATATATTAGCAGTTTTATCTGTACAGCATCAAATGATTCATATCTTTCAAATTCTTGACGGCATGTTTATAAATGTCAGAACAATAGGAAGGTATTGTGAGCGCACACATTATCTTACTAAATGTTACAATTATTAACACTTTGATAAAAGACATGAAGATACAACATAAATGATATATGTTAGGTTTTGCATGGAAGACGATGCTTATTTAGTGACGAGTGCTTTTCCTGGGATTAATTGTCGGCCATTTAAGGATGTTGCAATAAATAGTTTGAAGCACAGATTACTAGTATATTTATACAAAAGAGCAGAATATATAAGCTATGTGACCAAGGATCCTTATGAACTGAGAAGATTTTATCAATATTTTGATCAGTTAAATTCTCTAAGAATGTGGAAGATGCAGTTATTGGATACCAATCATATCTTGGTGAGATATGCTAGCGAAGAAGTAGCAACATTGCAAGCAACTGAACCAAATGCGCAGCCGGCTTTATTAGTGGTTTACGATATGGTTACGGCAAAAATTTTGGCGGCTTACGACAACGCGTCGACTCAATTGTTAACCCAATTCGAAAACTTTAGCGACTTTTTCAGAAATGCCAGAATGAGCACAGATTGTCAGTACATGTGTTCACCATCTAACAATATATATGCACGGTATATAATATTATTCTTCATCTTAACATTAATGCATACATAAAATACATGATTATTTAAATAATTTTCCTTTAACTTTGTTTCATTTCCTTTCAGATTGTTGCAGCAAAGATTTAAGCAAACGATAATAAGCGCTAGATATGGAGGCGTAACTGAAGCTACAAAAAGGCTGCTTGCTCAGTTACCAATATGTGCACAATCCTACTCGAGTTCTCCATACCTCGATTTATCTTTATTTTGTTACGACGACAAATGGGTGTCTATGATGGAACGCCCAAAAGCATGTGGGGAACATCCAATACGGTTGGCAATTTATTCTTATCCTCGTGATAGAAAGTTATCGAGAAAACTAATCTTTGCCTGTGATTTCTAATTTCTTTTCTTTTATGCAGCTTTTATGCACGTGACTCGGGTCTTTTAAAATTTAGAATGTATGCCGGTATGCTAGGACGAACGACACCAACGGCTGCAAGACGATTAGTTGCGTTCACGTTCCATCCAACTGACCCATTCGCAATATCGGTGCAACGTACTAATGCAGAATATATTGTTAGTTTTCATGTTAGACATGTCTAGATCTTCCTTTTCTCGATACATGTATATTTTACTGATGTACAAAGAGATTTCTTATATCTCGTAAGAATTGTTGAGATCGCTATCGCTAAAGTACAAAATGGGGATTCTGCTTTACGAACGAAACTATGTTACAGCGTGATCATACATGTTAATTATATTTAAGGACTATCATCGACTGTTAGCATGTAAGACAATTGTAGTTTAATATACTTTTAATACAATTAAAAGATAAAAATTCTTAAAAATATAAAATATTTGGTAACATTAATGAAGCCTTAAATGTATATATAAGGCCTGACTATGAATACGCGCATAAATATTCTGTTCACCTTGTATTCCTTTAATTTGTGACTAAATGTTCTGTATATTCTTTCATCTTTTTTTTATCAATATTTAATTTAATTTGTACTAATCTTAGCTAAGCTTAATATTTTACATATCGATCAATAAGGCTTTTTAAACTTGTTAATTGGCTGATTCTTGGATCTTTCTGTTCTACAGCCAATCAACAAGCTTGAAAAGTTTTGTCGACCGATACATGAAATATTACTCCTGCAATGATCATAGCCAATCAAAATGCATTACGCTGGACTATTACAAGAGAAACATTCCATTTGATGCTGATGCAATTAAGGGCGGTATTCATATTTTCATTAAGTTATGGCATTATTACCGCCCTTAATGTGGTACCTTAATTTTCATTAAGTTGCGCTACTGTATATACTGTGCTAGTAGTGTCACAACTCATCCCAGGAGTGATACTACTAGTAACACTAATGCGAATTTATAATTACACTTCTACACTACTAGTCACAAGTAGTATCACTGTTCATATCAGCAGTGACACTAGTAGTATATTTTCATGCGGGAAACGTAGCCAAATATAGCAACACCAAGCAACACGTAGCAAATGCCGGAAACGATGACAGCCATATTGAATATTAGTTCCTCATTTTCTGTGTCATAGTTATGAGGACGCCACAAATGCTGGTGACGGAAAAACTATGGCAGTTTGGTGGTCCTGAGTATCACGGTACATATTGTGGTTTGTAAGAAAACGCAATGTTGCCAGCTTGCCTCGCACTCGCGCATGCGCGCAGCCTAAAGTGCCAATAGAGTATCTAATCCGTTCGTAAAACTGGCGTCCTTAGTCGCCCCAAAGAGAAATAGAATTATAAATATATAGAAATTAGACATACCTCTTATTGTGAGGTATCAATTTCTACATTAATTTCTACTATTTACATTATCTATATGAGAAGCTGATTTCGACATGCCTTGATAAATTATATCGACAACATTTAAGCAAAACATTACAAATTTTACATCAAACTTTATTATCATTCTCTGCCAACCAACCTTTAAAGATATTTTCGTCTAACCAAGATCTTCTAAATTTTCGGATACATACCTTTTTTTGAGCCTTTTTCCTGACTCCATTGCAATTCATTTTCTAACCTAAAATACTTTACCTCATTTCTACTTTCCTCTTGGGATTCCTCCTGTTGTTCAGTTTGGCGCACAGACTTCGCGGTCCACACGACACCACATCGTTACTTTCATCTAATGGCTACAGCACTGCGCGCTAAGCTGTAAACACGCATGCGCGAGTGCGAGGCATATCTGGCATCACTGTCGAAAAATCATGCACTACAGAATATGCAAAAATCGTTCGGAACAAAGATAATCGGATTGTACTGACTCTTTCGCCGTGTATATTAGTGATTGATTTCTGATTTTTTAGTCGTTCTTGTGTCAAATTTCATAACAATCGCGTCGCATGTATTATCGCTGACATCTGGAACGCATTAGCAGGAGCGGAACGCACATTTTCAGTGTAATTTGTCAGAGTGACTCTCGGCCGCTCATGTTCTAACATTCGCAGCCACGTTTTAAGTTCATCGTCAGAAAGGTCAGGAACTCGTCTCCATCATAAACTGCAACGCAAAATATAAGGAGGTATTTCTTATTTCATGGATGCTTTGTATTTTATATTCTGATGTAAATGCTCTCTGTTTATGTATTTGTCTTTTTTTTTTCTATCGGACAACCTCCTGTTGCTCATATGCGCGCGCATATTTACAGAATAATTTACTTTTGATAAATAGTGCGTTGTACTCTGTCTCTTCTCTAGTGCGCGTTATTTAAAGCATTATTATAGTTTTTATTACATGTCTATATTCTAACTTAAATTATTAATTGTATATGTATATGCAGTATGTTTGGTTTAAATGTGCTCAGTTATCTTACAAATAAATAACAGTTGTATAAAAAGTTAGTTAAAAGTTATTTTGTGTAAGATGATCTATATTCTATATAATGACTAAGTGAAACTTGAAAATTTTTATTTAATGCTTTTAGAACAATTTTATTTTTTCTTTTTAATGGAACATCTATTTTAATGGAAGGATTAAAATCTATTTTATTATTTTTTGTTATACAATATTGTAAGAACAGCTTGCTATTTAGGCAATGATTCAAATCACACGAAACCAAACTTTTGTGACCAAACTTTTCTCACTCTATTTAAAGTCTCTTCTATCTTAGTATACTAAAGTTATTTAAGATGCTATTAAAGTTATTTAAGTTATAAATATATATAGAAAATAATTTATATTTTATTCTTTAAATGACTTCTTTTTGTTGTAGGAATCTATGAGAAGAAAAGCACAATTAGATGTACAATTCTCATGAAAAGACCATACAATCCTTTTGTGAAATAGTTCTACACTCTCTTACATAAGCGTGTGTATATACATTTTTATGTATGTATTCTTGTGTATGTATGATATAAGCATATATATACAATAACAAAGATAATTGTACTTAACTGTGCTGTGTTAGCAAAGATGAATGAAGTGTACAGCGATAGTAAAAACAGTGTCTTCAATTCAAAATTACAAAACGTGACCATAAAAGTGACATCACCGAGTGAAGATAAGTTTCTTCCACATACATTTAAATTGCCTACAACATCGACTAAACATTATCCAAGAAAAAATAGATATCTATTTCAATACAAAATGGCTAAATCATTGCTTGATACTACTGATACGGATACTTGGAATTCGCCAAATACGAGTTCAGACTGTTGTATATACAACTCACTTCGAATGTTATCTAGATCAAGTAAAATAATGAATGCGCTCAGTTCCACTCATAATTCCTTTCGTCAAGACACTGTAGGAGGAATAAGAAAATCATTGAACTTTGACTCGAGTCCAAGTCCAAAAGGAAACAGTAGTTATGACGAGAATTCTACCAGTTCGATCAACACTGATACATCGTCATCCATATTAAATTTAAGTTCAGTTGATTCAACTGACAGTAACGTTCCGATGACATCTGGAGAATCTATCGACGAAAATCAGAATCAAACGCCTCAACAAAATCGGAAATCGAGCTATAGAATTGATATAAAAGATAATATGCACATACGGTCAAGAACAATTTATTTAATGTCGTTGATAGGACAACAGATAGACGAGAGACGAAAGAAAGAGGCATTCAACAAAAATGCCTCTTATAAATCTTCACATCCCTTTTACTCATTCAATTCATTCATTAGATCAAAAGGACCCAGCCTTGTTATACCTGTGAGTACACCTAGGAATCTATCTCAGGAATTTAACCAAGAATTAGATGATAGATCACATACACCTGAAAATATAATAAATGTAATTCCTGAAAGTATAAATTCTATTAAGAAGAGTCACAAGAAGGTATATACAATTATATTTTATTATTGATTTATCTTTGCTGTCTTATTTGTGAATTAATTCTTACAAATCTTTATATATTATAATTCTACACACATTTAATTATCATCTCATTAAAATAAATTTTATATGTATACATACATATATGTATATTCGTAATATAAACAATATATATATTTATAATTGATATACTAACATTTCTATTTTAACAGGAAAAATTATATTCTTATGAAGAACCATCGTCTATTCAGCAGATGGATGTTTCTATAAAAAATGATGATTTACAGAAGAGATTTTCAAGAACTATGGAATCTCCGGAAATAGATGTGATTGCTACAAGTAATTGCTATGTTGCTTCGGAAAATGAAGAATTTCGTAAGAAAATCAGAAATATTCAGAGACATATTTACAATGACGAACATCGTAACACTGAATCAGATTTTGATTACAATATGCAGCAGAAAACTGCATCGACAATAAATGATTCGTTGGAAAGTGGATTGGATCAAATAGAAAGTGATAAAATGCAAGATATTGATTCCATTGATGAGAGTTGTGAAGAAGATATGCAAGTTAAGGCATGTCTTGTAGATCAAAATAATGAAGAAAAAGATTGTTCCAACAAGAATGTTTGCAATGAAGAAGTAAATCAGTTATTGTTGCAAAACGATTCGTCAGGTACTTGTAATGTTAATGTGACCAGTGAGAATAGAACAGCGTCTCCAGAATTTAGTTCAAATATTTCTCAAAATACTAACGTAGTAGTTACACCCGAAAACAACATAAATATATTAAAGCACGTATTGACCGAATCAATTAAGAAATCGCACAAAAAGATGAAACATGGAAATAGAAAGATGTTGCTTAAAACCTCGATCAAAGATCCTCATCAAAAAATGGAATTAACGAAATCTGAAATATCACTCGAGGGTGTTTGCGATATTGATCAAGATATTGAAAGTCAGATACCTGATGCGATTCATGTCTCAAACTCACAGAATTCCGAGCTTGATCGACCAAACACACCCGAAAATGTAAATTCAAGTAGACTCTTATTACTTGGCTTTCATTCAGTTAAAAAGTCACATAAGAAAGACAAACGTAGCAAAAGAACTTCCAATTTTGTTGAATGCCACAATTACGAATATTACAAGGAAAATAATCTATTACAACATAAATATGAAGAGGAAATTTGCAGAACCTTATGTAAGAATAAATCTCCTGACATATCGCCTACAGAGAAGTCAGTAAGCACATTTTTGCAAAGTAGTACACCCAAATTTTCAAGTACTTTCGTGTCTTTAGGATGTAAAGATATAAACGATGAATTTAAGATTTTTACTCCTATTAAAAAACGACGAATTCCAGACATTATGAATTATGTTTCTGCGGTCGATATGTCACAAGAAGAAGATGAATCTGTACAAGGAACATCAAAGGAAATTGATTGTTCCAGATGCGTGACACCAGTAGCACGTTGTTC